GAATGAATGCCTAAGTGAATGAAGACACCTCGGGTCATCTTGTCACAGTTGTTCCAGGGATAATGCCAGAGAGAAAAATATTTTATGCTTATGATCCATTTTTTTAAATAGCGATTCTTTTAAAAAAGAGAAGACAATATCTGACATCAAAGAGCAAGAAAAACAAGAACACAAATACTTTGGAAAGTTACAGCCTCTACAGAACAAAATAAGCAGTCGATCTAGTAAATTCTGTTTTCTTTTATAAACTCAACGTATTCATAAATGAAATAATTGCCTATAGAAAAAGATTTTCAATTGAAATTTTGTTTTTTCCCCCAAACATTAACTTTTTTTTAAAGATTTTATTTATTTATTCATAAGAGACAGAGAGAGAGAGAGAGAGAGAGTGGCAGAGGGAGAAGCAGGCTCCCCGCTGAGCAGGGAGCCCGATGCGGGACTCAATCCCAGGACCCTGGGATCATGACCTGAGCTGAAGGCAGACGCTTAACCATCTGAGCCACCCAGGCGCACCCCCAAACATTAACTTTTTTTTTTTTTAAAGATTTTATTTATTTATTTGACACAGAGAGAGACAGTGAGAGAGGGAACACAAGCAGGGGGAATGGGAGAGGAAGAAGCAGACTTCCCCCTGAACAGGGAGCCCGATGCAGGGCTTGATCCCAGGACCCCGGGATCATGACCTGAGCCGAAGGCAGACGCTTAACGACTGAGCCACCCAGGCGCCCCAAACATTAACTTTTAAACTGCATATGTGGGACTTAAATTAGTGGAAGAAATTTCAGCAGAGAGATCCATATTTTAATAACCTATGACTCAGAATATGCAGTGGGAGAAAATAAAGAACCACATCGTTTCTATTGTATTTGCCATCAAAGCCTCAACAACTGTCCATGGTGAATTGACAATAACTCACTAGCCAGTGGACCGGAGAAATTAATGCCACAATAAGGGATCTTTCTGTTGATCCTTGTGGACAAATACATGAGTCTCTCATTCTTGAAACAGGACACAAAATAATGAGATAAATTTTGTAACAGTATAAGACCACTAATAGTTCACCAATGACTTCATTAGTAGAGATGAACCACAGCTTTGCAGGAAAAATATGTCCTGAATCTTTTCAGACACCATTATACATAATTAAATAAAACAGAAAAAGAGATTGAGGGGGGTGGGAGGGATGGGGTGGCTGGGTGATGGACATTGGGGAGGGTATGTGCTATGGTGAGCACTGTGAATTGTATGAGATTGATGAATCACAGACCTGTACCCCTGAAACAAATAATACATTATATGTTAAATAAATAAATAAACAAAAAAGAAAAAGATTGAAAAATATGATGTGATCTACATTGCCCTTCCTCTCCCTCCTCCTTTCCTGCACCACTCTGCCACACACTCCCCACCTCCTCCTCCTCTAAGTAAGCTGATGACAATTCTCTTAAAATCCATTTCACAACTTCCTTCAAAGGGAAGGAATCCTTCTTGCCTCTGATCTACAACTCACCAATAAACATATTCATAAATAAATGCAAACCCTGGACACAACTGGCTTTTGGAGCAATATTCTACAATGACTTTCACTCATACCTTTTGCCTGTTCTAATCTTCCACTTTCCTCTTTGCGATTTCTCTCTCTCTCTCTCTCTCTCTCTCTCACTCTGACTGAAAGATCTACCTGTCTTCACCATGGTTATTTGTTCCCTACTAATTCATCTGCAAAGATCAACTTATAATCTTATTTATTAGCATTTTTTAAACATTTACTGCGTGCCAAGTGATGGGGTTGGGAGAAGGATAACTTTTCATTTCCCCTAGAGATGCCTCTCATCTAGTTTTCACACTAATCCTTTTAGGTAGATTCTATAATTATCCCCATTTTACTGATGAGGAAACTGAGGCTCAGAGAGGCTAAGGATCTTGTCAATGGTCCCTTGGGGTCAAGACCCATGTAAGTCTAAGCTCCAGCTCTTAATAGTACTACATTGCCTTTCATGGCAATTTAATTCAGCCAATGCAGAACGTGTATATAAAAATATATGTACCTGTACAAACTCTAAAAATATTGCTTAAGTAGAGGCGCCCTGGGTGGCTCAGTCGGTTAAGCATCTGCCTTCAGCTCAGGTCATGATCCCAGGCTCCTGGGATGGAGCCCCACGTCGGACTCTCTGCTCAGCGGGGAGCCTGCTTCTCCCTCTCCCTCTGCCCTCCTCCCTGCTTGTGCTCTCTCTCTCTCTCTCAAATAAATAAATGAAATCTTTTTAAAAATTTTTAAAAAAATATTACTTAAGTAGTAAAAGAGATCTGGCTCTACCACCAATAGTGTGTGAGTATATATATTCAGTATTCCCTTTACTGATCTAATATTGATAGACAGTTCAGCAGCTACCTCTCATCAGCAGTTACAGATTTGCTTTTTAACTGATCAGATGCTAGAACAACAGAAAAAATCTATGTGCTTTATTTACTAAGGTAGAAGAGGAAAAGACATACAAATTGAATAGCTAGATCAGAGGTCCTCTTAGCGAGAGAAGAACTTTGGTTGCTGTCCTTTAGGCAAAGGACAGGCTGCTGAGAACATAGGAACAATGCACCTAACAGGGAAGTCAAGAGACTCTGAGAAAGAAAGAGAGAAATTTGGATTTGTTCATAAGAGAAAGTGGGATTGGGCCGGAAGAATGTGGGCAAAGGAGGACCAACATACTGAGAGAGGCTGAGTTGTTCTGTGGAATGGGGGAGCCAGGGCAATGTCCCCCACACAGTGTTTAAGTGTGCAGTCTGGTGTGTGACATCCTTTCTTGCCTTGTCCTTCAGATCATCAGCACAAGTTTTGCTACTGTGATCATCTTGAGTTCGTGGTTGCTTGGAGGGCAGATGGGTGGTAGGATGGGGCCAAGGAGAAGAGACTTTGTCCCCTCTTTCCGTGGACACCAGAATGGTGATAAAGGAACGGCCACAGGGAACAGAGAAAATACTTTCAGTGAAAGTAGAAAACAGAGCAGTGGTGATCCCAAACTTATACTCCCTCAGAGAAATACCGGGGAGAGCCTTGGGGGTTTACCAGAATGGGGGTTTGAATCAACTTATCCTGATCTGAAAGAGCTGGGGAGAACCTAGGGGACATGTTGATTACACTACAGAAATTCAACAATCTAGCTTTTTTGGGTAAAGAACAATGTTATGTTTGCTAGAACCAGGGAACAGACAATGACACAGCCACTTCTTAAAAGTAACTTTGAACGTATCGGCATGTGCAGTCAACTGATTTGCTGACTTAAAAACAGTCTGATGACATTTTTTTGCCTGTTAAACCTATTATTGCCCATAATGAAAGACTCTATATGCACTAATCAGAACCTGCAGCCTTCTGTTTGATCACAGTTTTTAAAACTTCATGATACAGGGGTTTTTAGTTATACTCAACACATTTTCCTTCAGACATCTGATTGGTTGCTCTAGGTGCCGTGAATGATATAAATTGAGCTCTTAGTTGGAAGAAATCTAAAGGATCAAGCATCCCTGAGTTTCAGACAGAAACTTCCTCTGAATACGCATACTCAAAGGTATGTGGATTTTATTCATTTGGTATCCTTTCTATTGTGCTTATTTCTTTTTCTGCATTTCATGTACAAAAGATGCAAATGTATTCCGCATTTCTAATACTTTATGCTGTCATACATATTCGGTTACTTCTTCAGTTGGACCATAATTACAAGACCAGTGCTCTAACGCCTGAGCTATGGAGCCTCCAGTTGGACCATAATTAAATTAGACTCTGATTACTTAGATGAATTATTTTACTTCCTAATGCAGCAAAGTGTTTGTCTGTATTTTTTAAAATTTTACTTCCAGAATCCCAAAGCACTTTTCAGGGCCAAATCTCACAGCAAAATATGTATTTTAATTACTTATCAATTAAGATAAAAGCGATTTTTTTCCCACAGGCTGTCATCTACTACTTTAAAAGCCATTTTGTTTAATTACATCAAATAGAGCCATTAACTAAATGTGGTGTTTTCTCATTAATTCAAACTTCAACAGATTTAGGAGGCAGAAAACATCGGTGCACTTTTTATAGCCAGCATTATTACACACAGTACTCACTTTCTCTGCAAAATTTAAGATCCTTCTGACAGCTTTCATAGTCAACAATTCGTACCACAAAGCAATGTGCATATTTTAGGATGGCCTGTTTTGCTTCATGTCCCAAGGGTCATAAAGTGTATAATTACGGTGCCGGGCCAAACAAAAAGGAAGATGTCATTGACTAAATATGGAAAATTTCAAGGAGCAGTCATTCACAATTCACGGAATAATCACAAAGTATTAGCACTGTCCTCTCCCTTCCATTCAACCGCACCTGTTCCTCCACATCTGGAGCTCAGAGATGTCTGCTGGAAGTCCTACCAGTCGAAACACCTGGAACTTCCCTCCACTCCTTCCTTACTCTATTTTGGTAGATTATTTTCATATCTTTTCTCAGATGATTCGTCTTTGTTTTTAACAGTAGCAATGCTCAGGTGGACTGTACAAAAAAAAAAAAAAAAACCCCAACAATTTTTGTGCCCTCCTGGTTCTAAAAGTATCAAATAAATACTGTGCACCCTGAAGACCTGCGCAGCTTTTAGAGCCAACTCCGTTCTTGTGATCATTAATTATAAGCTACATCTAGCTTCTAGGACTCCCCAGGCTGCACAGGTATAGGAAAATAGCACACCAAATCGCGTAATGAGAGATTCACATCGCTACACTTTGTTCTGCTCTCAGCCGAAATGAGAAGCAACCTACCTTATCACCATCAGGAGTCCAAAAGCAATGAAATGAGCTCAGAACTGGAAATCACATGTGAATGAAGTAACCTCACAAAAGTGGTCCCATCCTTTTTACTGGCAACGGACTAATATGGATTGGTGGATTTTATGGAGCATTAATTATGTCCATATTTGCAAAAAGGTTTTTTTAAAAAGTGTCAACTTCTATTTCAGGGCCATCAAGACATGGGGACCTGGATTTTGTTTGCCTGCCTCTTGGGAGCAGCCTTTGCTATGCCCGTGAGTAAAACACCCCTGCAAATGTCAATATCCAATTTCACAAGCTCGGAAATAAAAATCTGCCCCACAGCTGATAAACTTTAGGGTTTAAGGCAGTACAAGATCAGATGTCCTCAAATGTCTCTGTGTTTAAGAAACACTTGGAAGAGCTTGTTATATATAAAAAAAATATCCTCAGATGCCTCCACCCCAGACTCGGATTCAGAACAGCCGGAGTGGGGCTAGTGCCCAGGACTCTGCATTGTAACAAGGAGATTCTGTGGAAACAATTAGCTCGTAAATATCATCGCCCGTCTCTAGATGGAGGAAACTTTTGGGAGGGACCCTCGAAAGGCCTCCAGAGAAAGTGCTCAACCAGCCTGAGGCAAATACTACAAAAATGCCAGTTTTCTCGAAAACCTAATTTCTCACGAGTGTCCAACTCTCTTCCTGCCCTACAAACTCTACTGCCTGTTATCCTTCAGAGGGTAAGGTTTCTATGTTAGGAATTTCCTTCTTGAACCATCTCCTGTTGTCAGAGGCCGCATCCCTTTGGGTGCACCTGCTAAGCACATGGGTGCTTCCGTGTGGTTGTCCAGGATCCTATCTATGCCCAGTGCGCGTGGATATTTTCTACATTTAAATGTACCAAGGACCAGGAAGTCTGACCCATTCTCTTTAGACACAGGTCACATAAGGTCAGAGAGCTTAGATCCCACGCAGGCAAAGCAGGACGTAGCCGCTTTTCGGTGGCATAGAGAGCAGTTGATAGGATCAGAAGCCAGCAAAGCTTGTATATCTGCCTCCTCTCTTCCTCTCTCGCCCACAAGACCAAGATTCTGCGCTCTGCCTTCCTGAAATCCTGCATTGTGGCAACTTCTAGTCCCCCGAGGGGCCTCTGCATTACAAATTGAGCCCTTTATCCACTCCTCAACTGAATAACCCTACTCCCTGAGGGCTTATGTCAAGAAGGTTTACGAAAGGCAGTTACCTGACTAAAAGAATTCATATTCAGATGAGAGCAAATAAACCCTCTTATAGAATACGAGCATTTAAAAATAATAGAGCCTTAATTAGCTTGATGTCTGAGGGAGAGTCTGCACAGTCCTCTCTCCTCTCCCTCTCCCCCACTCCAGGGCCACCGGCATTGCATAATGCAGGCATCAGTCACTTTAAATTTTTCTCTGCCATAAAAACTTTGACAGAATCATAAAGGAATCAGTCTAAATTTCATAAATCAAGTCCTTCGCTTTCCATGGGACTTACAGCGTTTCCACTTTACTGCACCGGTCTCCGCACACTCATCAAGAAAATTCACAGGGAGTTGTTGCTTCTGTTGTCGATGTGCTTTGCATGCCAATTGTGAGGACTCTCTTCCATTACTGAAGCACTTACCCACCTCCTGCACTATAAGGGAAGGTTTGTGAGACAGTTCTCTTCTTTTGGTATTTCATAATTGTGTAAGAGAAACCCATCTCCCCTTCCAACGTGGAGTGCGTTGCGTTAAGACGTAAAATGGCGGACGGGAGAGAGTAGGATTAGTTGACGACATGGATGGGGGGGCGGGTGTCCGAAGATCACTGGAGGATAAATGTGTGCTGGGTTTTGCTTCCCGGTCTTGGGAAAGTCATTTAGTTGCTCTGGACCTCTTTAAAATGAGAGGGCTCCTCTCCTACACAGCGTACATGTTCAAACGAAAAGTAGACCTCAAATATATTCTGCACCATATAGATTTTTTTAAAGTAGCTTCAGTCTCTCTTAATGTGAACAATTGCATACTGACTTAATCTCTTCCTCTCTCTCCCTCTCTCCCTCTCTCTCCCTCTCCCCCCCTCCCTCTTCTCTCCCTCTTTCTTTTTCTTCTCCTTTCCCCTCTATAAAAGCTACCACCTCATCCTGGGCACCCTGGTTATATCAACTTCAGCTATGAGGTAATTTTTCTCTTTACTAATTTTGACCATTGTTTGAGTTAACAATGCCCTGGGCTCTGCAAAGCATAGTGTGTTGATTCTTTATTCAAGATGTTCCTCAGTCCTGCTTTTTCAGTTCCCATTACCAGCTTCCTGGTTTAAGCCCTGATGGGTTGCCTCAAGGCTGCACTGCCCCAGCACACTCCTACTTGGCCTCTCTGACTCAGTTTCTCCTCCTTATATGGCTATAAAGCTATCCATCATGAACTACCATTCAGGGTGGGGCTGCATGGCAGGGCAGAAAGTGAACTCTGGCTGAACAGCTTTGTTCTATTCCAGCCTGTGAAAGGTGAGGGAGTCGGGTAAGACGTTATTTAAGATCCTTTCCAGCTAGAAACTCCTGATTCTAAGATGTTCACACTCTATGTGTCTCCTTTGTTCGTCTTTAATGAAAGATCAGTGACCACTGACCAAGGGGTTTGTGAGACATTCTGCAGAGCAATGGAAAGCATGAGATTTCTGGAAATCAGGTTTGAGGCTCTCCTCAATCCCATACTAATCACGCGACCTTGGGCAAATCATTTTCTCTAAAACTTTGGTTTCCTCATCTGGAGAAGGGAAATAATTATAATACCCACACTTCAAAATATGGCTTGAGGAGCAAAATAGTTAAGCAATATAAAAGACGTTTTGTCAAGTACAATTTGAGCAAGGTTAGTAATTGTCTGTTGTATTCATATCAAATGCTGTACTACAACATGAAGGTGTCCCCAGAACTGAGGTTAACCAAGTATATACTGTTTAGGGAGGAATGAAACTCTTCCTTCTTTCAAAGGTTCAGATGACAATCTGTGAATCTGTTTACTCATACAAGCTGAGGAAAAGTGTGAATAACAATTTGAGGCAAGATTTTCTGTGAAACCTTAAAAGGCTGACATATTTGACCAGAAAACCTGTGTTTCTAGGCTGAGGGACAGATTTTCTGCCTTCTTTATTTTTCCATTGTGACGTCAACTCAAAAATGATACGACTAATGTTATATCACATTAATTTGTTTTGTTTTGCTCTTGCAAAGAGCAGGTGCTGTGGAATTCAACAGAATTACTACTTTTGTGAACTTGATCAAGCTCATGAACCTTTTTAACTCCCCATGAGCTAGTCTGGAAAAGTGAGGGCGAGGATACTTGCCTCACAGTACGTGAGAACACATGAAAAATGTGTGTCATGGATGTAATGTAGCGCCTAATGCTCAGGAAGCACCTGACAAATGTTTTGCTTTATGCTTCCTTCCATAGAACTCATACTTTCTGGCTATCAATATTGACAGGACTGCATCAATGAGTCTGCATTTCATGCAACGAAATTAAAGCAAATGTATTCCAATGTTTCTTTTTCTTAAGGTGCTTACCCCCGTGAAGTGGTACCAGAACATGATAAGGCATCCGGTATGTAGATATTTTTTTCTTTAGTCCCTTAAAATATTAAGCATGCATTTCAATTCCCTTTTAAATGAGATAACATATCTATGCCACATCCAGACACTAATGGCAAGTCTGGTCTGTAAAAGGTCATATCTGTGTACACAGTTAGAAATTCGTGCACAGGAAAAAAAATGAATAAATAGTCATAGTAACGATGACAAAGAAAACATGACTACTTCTCCAGCTGGAAGTCAGTGGAGCCAATGGTAAACCTAACTCTTTGTTTCTCACCAGTACCCTTCCTATGGTTACGAACCCATGGGTGGATGGCTGCACCACCAAATCATTCCCGTGCTGTCCCAGCAGAATCCCCCGAATCACGCCCTGCAGCCTCATCACCACATCCCCATGGTGCCAGCTCAGCAGCCCGTGGTCCCCCAGCAACCAGTGATGCCAGTTCCTGGCCAACACTCCATGACTCCAACCCAACACCACCAGCCAAACCTCCCTCTGCCTGCCCAGCAGCCCTTCCAGCCCCAGCCCGTCCAGCCCCAGCCTCACCAGCCCATCCAGCCCCAGCCACCACAGCCACCTCTGCCTCCGATGTTCCCCATCCAGCCCCTGCCCCCCATGCTTCCTGACCTGCCTCTGGAAGCTTGGCCAGCAACAGACAAGACCAAGCGGGAGGAAGTGGTGAGTACCCCTTGAAGCCACTCTGCCAGCTGGGAAAATGGTAAAGCAAAATGGCCCCCAGAGTTCTAAGTTCTCAAACAATCCAGGGTCTAGAGTTTCAGTAGCTACACAGGTCAATGACTCCATTAGTCCAAGCATGTGTTGTAACTTTTTATTATAAATAAGTTTATCTGTGAAGCTTAGTAATTAAGACCGTAGTTTTTACGGTGGGTTTAACTTCCGCGATTATTTTGAATTTCTCCCAGAATATGTATTACTGAAACCCATTAATTTTAAGGAGAGCAGTATAAGGGACTATCAGTTCTCCTTATATTTCAAGGGTTTGACTAGCAAGAATAGGCTAGAATTGCACTGAAGGTAAAAGGGTAATTTTTGAGGGGGGGGATGCAAATATTTGAACAGGCTACAAAAAGTAGGTGGGAAATCTCTTTGAAGACCTCTTTAATCTCTTTAAAGGAAGATTACCTGTCTAGGGTGGATTTTAATCTAAGTTGGAGGAAGCTAGACAGTTTATTAGATTCCTTTTCAGTGCTTGGTTCTACAGATTAAATTTCAGCAAGAAGTTTTCACACAACTAAGCACAAAATTAATTGCATTACAGAAAGTTCTTCCAAATGAGTGGGAAGTAGCCAATAAAATAAATGACTCATATCCATATCCATAAACCCTTATTCTGTGTATATGAGATTATGTAATTCTACTGCATATGTAATTCCAAGTTATAAATGCTACTGATGATTTTCTACTGAGAAGCAGTGAGAGGTGAGGCGGAAATGACCTGGATGGGGGGCTAGGATACCCACATTCCAGTTCTGGCTGGAATGGTATTGTACAAGTTACTTCAAATTTATGGGTGTTTTCCCTTTTTTAAAAGAAGAGAGAGCGACTACCTCCGATAATTTCCAGCCTCTGTCCAAGTACAAATACCATAGTTTCCCAACAAAAAATTAGAGTGTATGCCATATATGGTTTCACAATGAGGAGCATATCTGTGGGGAATACGGGGCAGGACTTTTGAAATTGGATCCCAAATAATTTGGTGCCTCTTGTTGATTCTTCTAGTCTAAGGTACTGTTCCCTCTGTCTAGAACATGCATTTATTCATCACTTCATTAATGATTAAGGCCATGAACTTTATAATGTGCTCACATCTCGCCAGAGCTATTTCTGGAAAGGTGACTTTGGGCAGGTAGTAGTTTGAACTCTTTAAAACTCCTGCGTAAAATCAGAGCATCAATATTGGTAGCTTCTTAGAGTTGTTTTACAGAAAATAAAATCAAGTGATGAGCTCAGAGCCTGGCATGCAGGAAGTCCTCAGGAAAGGGCAGCTATTGTTATTTTATTATTATGTAAAAGTTGGAAGTGTCCTGAAGGCAGGGACGTCCATTCTGGATACTTCCTCTCCAATGACAAGGAGACAACCAAGAAACTTGGAAAATTACAGAGTTCATCTTACACGGTGGTACATCATTCTGGCAAAATGGAAGCCACATGCGTGATTGTAAATGATCCTCACTAGGAATATCTGTGAATTATTTTAATTCTTCCTTTTGTTACTATTTTTAAGGATTAAGACATCAGGAAATGAGAAGAGAACTGAAGTAAATACTTCAGGTGCTTTTCAGAATGACACAAGAACATGATGCGTTTTGCCTGCCATCCCTTCACTTAGTAAATTCTGTAACTAAAAATCAGTACCATTAGCAAACAATAAAATGTTTTAAAAATCATTCACGTCTTTGTGTTGCTTTAAGCTTAAAATTTCGTGTCACTTCAGAGAAGGTATTATTAATGGCTTTTCTTGGTTAAGGCAGGAACTGCTCATTCACACCTACAAAACTGACCATTCTGCAGGCAAATGAGGACTAATTCTTCCTTTTAGAGAAAATGTATACGATCTCAAAACATTTTAAAAAACCAGAAGGTTATAAAGTAGTTATAATAGTAGATAAAGTGAAAAATTATGAACATGTACCGTCACTGAACCTAAATGAAATGAAGGGAAGTTTATGTGAAGAATTCTTTAAATTAGAAAAAAAAAGCTCTTGAGAAATGTTTATATTACAAAACAAATTAAGACTTGGAACACAGGCTTTATAGCTCGCACCACATTAGTAACCAAAATCCAATCTTTTGATCTCATTCTACTGAAAAGGATTTTTAAACGAAATTATGTGATATGTATAATAATGTACTGAATTTTACATTATTGGGGTAATCAATTTTCCTAAGAAAACTTTTATTAAATGGAGCTTCAAATAGAGAATCACAGTGATTTTGTACACAAGTCATTCCTTTCACTTAATAATTTTTAAGATGATAAACTGTACTGTATAGTCTTCAAAATGCTAACAGATGCATAAAATGGACTCAATACAAGTTTTCTTTCCCACTCATATTTATATTCGAATCCTTTTTTCCTCCTACACCCACACAGAATTGTAAACAATCTTTTTAGGGTTTACATTACACAGCACCCACAGTAACTTTATTCCAGTACCTTTATGATCAAGGCTCCTTAATCATTTTCTGGAATGAATAAACATAACTTTACTGGGAGGGTCTTGATATTTAAACAAATAACTTGATTTAAAAGGACTTAGATCCCATAAAAAAGTAAGCTTTTAATCAATTTGCATGAACCAATTCTAATCAATTTAGTAAATATTTATTTATCACCCTTTAAGGTAAGGCACTATTCCATGCCCTGATTCAAACAGTAAGTTCCCATCCTTAAGAAATCTAGAACCTACCAAAGGGATAAAATAAGCTCACAAATACTGATAAGAGAAGGCCTAGCAGCATTAACACTATGACAGAAGTATAGTCAAACTGCCCCGGGAAATATGGCAGACTTGCTTAGTTAGCTGCGCAATAGCTTTCCTCACCGCTCGTTCCTTGTTGGCAGAGCTGGAATTGCTCCCAGCATCTGGCCTTCCACAAACTCAGGACAGATGAGCCCCTCCCCTGTCCCAGGGAATGAATGTTCACTCCTCCATGCCAATTATGGCATCAATTACCATAACATACCATATCCATACCAAATACGGCATCTATGCCCTTTGCTAAGTGACTGGTTGAGGGATGGGTTGGGATGGAACCTGAACAATGAATGAGGCCATAAGGAATGTTCACTAGGAGAAGAGGAGCTTCTGGGGGGAAAGATTATTTTCCAATTAAAAAAATACACACACATCTGGAAAACAGTATGGAGGTTCCTCAAGAAATTAAAAAATAGAGCTACCCTATGACCCAGCAATTGCACTACTGGGTATTTACCCCAAAGATACAGATGTAGTGAAAAGAAGGGGCACCTGCACCCCAATGTTTATAGCAGCAATGTCCACAATAGCCAAACTGTGGAAGGAGCCCAGATGTCCATCGACAGATGAATGGATAAAGAAGATGTGGTTTATATACCCAGCGGAATACTACTCAGCCATCAGAAAATATGAACACTTACCATTTATTACATCAACGTGGATGGAACTGGAGGGTATTATGCTGAGTGAAATAAGTCAGTCAGAAAAAGACAATTATCATATGGTGTCAGTCATACGTGGAATATAAGAAACAGAGCAGAGGATCATAGGGGAAAGGAGGGAAAACTGAATGGGAAGTCATCAGAGAGGGAGACAAATCATCAGCGACTCTTAACTACAGGAAACAAACTAAGGATTGCTGGAGGGGAGGTGGGTGGGTGGGGGATGGGGTAATCGGGTGACAGGTATTAAGGAGGGCACGTGATGTGTTGAGCATTGGGTGTTACATGCAATTGATGAATTACTGAACTCTACATCTGAAACTAATGATGTACTATATGTTGGCTAATTGACTTTAATTAAAGAAAAGAAAAATACACACACACACACACACACACACACACTCATGCTAGGAAAGAGTGCTGTTCTGTCTTGGATCTACCTATTTGAGGATATGAAGCCTGGAGCTGTGTCTACCATATTATGACCAGGAAGGACAAATGGAAAGATGTAAAGCCCCTAAGTCTTTGGTGGCATCATTGTGTCCCTGAATTAAGCAACCCTGGAACCATCTACCCCGAGATGGATAAAACACTCTATTTCCATACTCGTGTTTTTCAGTTGTGGGTCACGAATGATTAGTGGGTCATGACATCAATATCAGGAGCCCCAGCATTTCTCTCATGCTGGCAAACCATCTCTTCCAATAGTGTAAAGCTTATTTGGCAAGAACTAAGAATTATTTTGTCAATGAATTCCCCCTCACACACACAAAAAGCCAGTGAATAGATAGAGATATTATATCCTGGTGTATTCTCCAAAATATATGCCTCCCCACACACTGCCTTTCACAGTTCATGGAAATAACTGCCATTATATTTATTTCTACTGAGAAACACTTTAAGGGTGTAAGGGATGATGTTACTTGGAGACTACGTGTGATATTGGAAAAAAAAAAACAAACTTTGGAGTCAGACTGGAGTTGCTTTCAATTTTTCTGATATAAGAGGATTCTCTATTTGGAAAAGTCATTGACACAATAATTCTCCTTTTATCATAATTCAAATTATACACACACATACATATTCAAATCACATTTTGAATTACAGGGGAAAAGTCAGGTTTTGGACTCTAAAAACTATTCACTGTGGAATGAGAGGTACTGTATAAGTTGATTTTATGAGAAACAGAAACTTGTGTATTCAATGGTCAAACCTGTGTTTCAATATAATCATTTTCATGGTAGGCTACAATGGACATTTTTCTATCACACTAAACAATGTATATTAACCACAACATAGCATCTCCTTGATGATCCAGAATGAGACTTACGAACACCCATCAGTGAGGTGTGTTGCCTTGGCATTTCAGAGATCACAAGGCTCTTATGCCTGTTTTAAGTTGTCCTCTTGTTGTAACTGTTCCTTCCCGCTTTTGGCCATCACTTCTTTTTGTTAATGTATATTTACATCTTGTAACATGTAGCTTATTTTGTACACATATTCTCCCTAACAAAATTACGTACATTGGCCTTGGGATTGTTACTTCAGAAGTTCCACAGTGGTTTTGAGACTATTTTATTTCCTGACTCCCCAGCTGTGGCAGATGGCCACAACTGACAAAATTCTGACATGTAGATGTATGCGGCTGTCACCGCATAGTATAACATGGCTGATGTAAATTGAATAAACAGAGCATTTCTAATTCATTAAAACTTAGGCATAGTCCGCTGCCCAACACTGCATTTGAGTAAAATATGGAAGAAAATCATTAGATACTAATGACCAAGCCTTAAAGCACAGGCTGAAATAAATAGTAGTACTGACCATAAATGCACTAATAAACCCAAACATATACCCAAAGAGTTCTTAAATCAGATTAAAAAAAGCAAAAGTAGATTATTTACGAAGCTGTACTATGTCTTTGAAATTCAGCTAAAGAGACAGATGAAGTTGAGGAAACCTGGTCAAGGAAACTCCTTTCTCACCATAACCACTCCCATGCCACTAATAAATTTGAAATCTGCTCTGTCCTCGTTCACTCTCTGTTGGTGAGGACTTCAGTATGCCTCATTTTGGGGAGGGGTGCAAATACACATCTAGGAATTACCCTAAGAGAGCCATCAAAATGCACAAAAAGATACATGCAAAGATGTTGGTCACAACATTATTTATACCATGAGAGATTTAAACTTTCTTACATCTAGCTGAAGGAGTAATGTGATAAAAAGTATGCTTTAGAAGAAAATTTATTAGTGGAGAAAATGTGATAAACTAAAACTTAAGACCCAAACCATCTATCATACGTGAATATTACACATGACCTTAACACGTAACTAATTTAGACACACACACATAAATGTGCATTGGCAAAAACTGGGAAGGAGATGCAGCTGTTTGTACAAAGATCCAATTTTCCCCACAATAAACATAAGTTGCTTCTGTAATCTAGAATCAAATTAAATTATTTATTTAAAAGTTTGTTCTCTCTTTCTTCTGCTTCAATCCAGACACGGCTCCTTCCTTCAGTTCCCTTTGATGTGAGTTTTGAATCTTGGTGGGTCCCCTTCAGGTCAATTCCAAGTAGAAACGACTTCACATGTACTTGATTTTTCAGAGAAACATTTTGACCAAAGAAGGGCTAAAGGAAAGGAACTACTACTGGCTTTAGCAAGAACAAAAATGAACAATAAGCTCAAACAACAGATAAGAGATGAGCATGATAGGATGAAGAAAGAAGAATTAGGAACAGCACAAATAAAATAAAATAGAGAAATGACCATCAAAGCAGTTCCTGCTGAAATCCTGCCAAAGATTAATGGGTTCAAAGAACAGGCAGGTGAGAGGTCAAACACAACATTTAAGACCTAAACCCTTAAAGAGCTGGGTGCTTGCAGTGACTTTTCACATTGAGTTCTCCTTTGATTCAAATAATGCCTGAACTATTCTGACTTAGAACTCATCAATTATCTAATTTCACTTTTGGGCTTCAACTGGTTATAATGTGCTTTTTTCTCTCCTATGTTTAATGACATCAGGTCTGAATCATCTAAAGAGCTCAACCTCAATCAATAATGACTCCAATTAACCAGAAAATGCTCACAGCTCACACATTAGAAAGGGCAAAGGAAAATGCAACCTAACAAACTTAGCTTTCAGGCTGGATTTCCAGAACCACCTACCTTGATAGCATGCAACCACCTATCTTGATGGCATGCACTGAAGACAGAGGTTCAAAGATTACCCGGAAGTAATCTTCACTTTGACAAGAGACAGTGAATAGTTGCAGCATTTTCCAAAAATTCAGATATGTAGGATGATAATATGATAGAATACTTGAAATCAGAGACATCTACTAACTGGTAATTACACTCTATACTTGCACTGTTCAGTATGTATCCCCATGTGGCTATTCGAATTTGAAAGAAGTAAAATTAAATAAAATGGAAACTTCAGTTCCTCAGTCACACGAGACACGTTTTAAGTGCTAAAAGGCCACGTGAGACTAGTGGCTACCATATTGCACAGAGCGGACACAGAACCTTTCCATCACCGCCAAGAGTTTTATTACACAGTACTGCTCTATACACTACTTCCTGAGGTAGAAGAGCAAGTCCTGTTAATTCAAAGATTTTAAACAAAAGATGAAACAAAACAGACTTGCTTGGTTAAAACTGAACATCTCAACTATCCATAACAAGTCATTTCCCAAGCATTCCAGGAGTCCTGATCTTGTATGGAAATTTTCTAAGAACTGTGAAAGTGCCCTTTTCTTCCTCAGGTCAAATCACACACACACACACCAAAATGGTTTTCCCTCCAGTTTTCTTTTAAAACAGATGAATTCTGAGTTCAACTACATTATTTTTTTCTCCTCATCAGAAAAACTATTTTAGTTCCAAAGGAATAGCCATTCATTTTCAGACCTCTACCAGCCACATCCACGCTGGAGGTAGAAGGCTGGGGCTGCCCTTGACCTAGGGCTTCACTGGGAACAGACCAAAGTTTAAGCTGATGGAAAGATAAAAGTAAGAAAAAAACACAAACTTTTGTCCATCCCTAAGGGTGGATGACTGCCTGGAAACATCAGAAAATATTTACATTCGTTTCTCTTTTGTGGTTCAAAGCAACAGTGCAACACAGGACGAATGGGTGCACACACACGCACGCACACAAACACATGCGTACACACACACGCACGCACGCACACAAACACATGTGTACACACACACACACGCACGCAAATACATGCGTACACACACACAAGCACGTGCGTGCACACTGCCCGCTGAGTTTTCCTGTAGTAAAAGGACACATGTGGAGACACAGACTATTTGAGAAACTTGCAATGTTAAAGAAAGCTTCTTTCCATTCTAATCATTTAGAGACTGTATGGCTATTGCATCAATCATCATCATGGCACACGACACCTCTTGCAAGATAAAATTCTATCAAGAAAAAAAGGTCAAGTTGCTTATCTTATTTATATGCAATGTCAAGTTGACTACCTCCTCTCCCCACTCCACATAAAATGAAAACACTGCCTTTTCCCATAAATCTGAGCATTGCCTCTTATTAGTAAACAACTGCTGAAAATACCAAGCTTGAGTTAAAGGCCAAGACTTTAAAAAGAATATAAAATAGCCAACAACTGTATTAATTAGGAAAAAAACCGAAAGAGATCCGACTGTGAACAGCTTAATATGGGAATCACAAGAGAAAAATAATTTCAACCAATTTCCCACATTTCCAGAACATAGTGATCTCTAGTCATGTTCCATATTGCTTTAATAAAACAGTCATCAGCCTATGTTTGTTGTGAAATTCTTGTTAATTGGACTTTTTACTTATTGTTTGGTGATTTGGCTTATAATTCCTTTTGCCCTCATGGGTCTAGAGCCTTATCAGCAGGGATCACTGGCTGACATTTAGTTATCCAAAAATACTTCCCTGCTGGGAAGAATTCATCTTGGCCTCATCTGAAACACCTGACTCTTCTAGAAGATAAATAACACTTGAGGAATAAAATCGGGCTGGGAGTGGTGGGGAGGAGGGAAGAGGTTGAGGAGAGAAGAGAGGAATGATCATTTGGGTCCCAAAACATTCGCCTTGATAAACTGCACCTGAATAATCTACCAAAAAAACCCCCAAGATCAATAAAGTCCCCTTACGAATAACATTGCCCCACGGTCAACAAAAAATAGCCCAGGGTCCAGCATTTACTTTCTTTTTATAAACAATTAAAAAAATGTTAAACAATGTTAACTCTCTTCCTCAAATCAACCAAATCTTGTCTTCCTCTCCCCCAAATTTCCCATGCTTCGAATCTGTGGAATGGGGGGGCTCTGGGGTCTGTTAAGTATACACACAGGTTAATGCAGGCTCCATAACCAGACCGTCTGGCTTCACGATCACGACCTTTGCCGATCTCCTGTGCAAATTGGGACAAGTTTTTTAGTCTCCATGTGCCTCAGTTTCCTCATCTATAAAAGGTACTATCTATCTCTGTGTCCTTTCATGTCAACGAGCCCCAAGCTCAATAAATGCTGGCTAGCGTTCTTACATTCAGAACGGAAGCCTTCTCCAGGCTCTCTAGGCACCCCCAAAGGGAACACTACACAGCTGGAATCGGGAATGTTGTAAAATTTGGACCTAACATGGAAGTTTTCTATGCCAAAGGCTCCAAACACATCTGTCATTTACCAGTGTGCCTTCTCTGACATACAACCACCGGAATGCCTTCCTTACTGATTGCTACCCTACGTGATCACTGCCTTCTATCTGACATCCCCAGAGGCTGCTTTTGTCACCCTGAGGGTAACAGGAGACTAAATCCACCAGGAGGGTATCATGGGCTGCACAGGGCTCATTAAAGGCTAGAGCGTTAGACCTCCTCCCTCTGAATGTCTTCTTCTGACCTTCTTTGTAAGGCCTGGCTGCCATGTATGGTGATTTCCCACACCAACCCTTCCCTTGTTGTTCTGGCTTTGGTCACAGTTCAGCTAATTCCACTTTAGGGATTCTTTACCAAACTTTTTTCTAGAGCAGTGGTTCTCAACCAGGGCAGCTGTGCCCCCTAGAGGACATTTGGCAACATCCGGAGTCACAATGAAGGGGCGGGAAAGAGGGTGGAGGTCATACTATATAGTATATAGTGGTATATATGGTATATAGTGGGCGGAGACCAGAGATGCTGCTAATCATCCCATGATGCACAGGACAGGCCCCACAACAACGAATGATCCAGCCTTGAATGTTGACACCGCGGCAGCTGGGAACACTGCTCTAGAAAACGAGGCCAATATTGAATCATGCTGTGTGTTCAGAACTTAACATACAGAAACAGTGAACAAATGTAGAAGTCTGTGTGCATTTTTAAAACGTAACTGAGAAAGCAAAACCAGGAGTTCAAGTCTTAACATTGGTAAAGCTGATGTAGGACTTCATACAGGAGGTTTTTCACTTCCTGCACCAATTGTATCAGCAAAATCGAAACAGCTTGGAGAGTGACCAGGACCTTGAAGAAAATTTGCAAGAGAAAGAGACAGCTGCACCAGGATTAAAGGAGCTGGTGTCCGTAAGTCACAACCATTCTGCAGAAATTAGAATGGCTATTGGTTTCTTCAGAAATTACTTAGGGACGCCTGGGTGGCTCAGGTTAAGCAGCTGCCTTCGGCTCAGGTCATGATCTCAGGATCCTGGGATCGAGCCCCGTGTCAGGCTCCCCGCTCACAGGGGAATCTGCTTCTCCCTCTTCCCCTCCCCCCTCGTTCTCTCTCTCCCCCTCCCCCACTGTCAAATAAATAAATAAAATCTTTAAAATAAAACTTACTTAAAAGTAAGTTCACTGTTTCTTGGGAGGTTACTTACAAGTTGTTATCTCAGTAATAAAGAGGAGAAAAATAACCAGACCATTAGCCATTGGTATAACGACGGAATTAGAACTCATTTAGTTTGTCTGGGAAGAGTCCTGTTTTGGGATTTGCTTGAACTTGGCAGAGGAACGAGAAATAAGTGGGCGGGGATTTAAGATGCCGTAATGCTCGCGATTTTCAGAACCATCACTCTGCACAAGTATTCTTTGATAAATATGATACAGTTTTTGTTACAAAATTATTACCAAAAAACCTCTGATAGCCATGGAGAATATAAACAGTGTGCTATACATACAGGAGACCCACTTTGCTGAAGTGAAGACTTTGGGCAACCTACAATATTTGACGGACTCAGGACACAAGACATCCTATCTGTCCAAATACCAAACTCAAGACACGCAGCTCTATGTGACATGGACTCCTCCATATGCCACACAGCAGGAGAACGGCCATAAATGAGCATCAGGTCAATGCCTGCTCGTTTAGGGACCTTCTTTTACTGGTCCACATGGACTGGAGTGCTCAGGCCTCGAGCTTTCCCAGGATATGTTGGGCATGCTTCTATTTCAAGCAACTACTTGTTTCTACTTTGGTCTCCCCACTAGCCCGCAACTTCCTTGAGGATTTAGAAAAATATGTAGAAACTGGTCAGTGTGCTTAATATCTGCTCAAGGAACCCTCAGTAGCATTAAAAAGCCACCATACTGTAATATAAAACTAATGATAGTAGTAACATCGAACATTTACTGGGCTCTTATTATATTCTTGGACTTGTTCTAAGCACATGACATATATTCGCTCACTTAATTCTCACAACCTTTAGAGGAAACATTGTCTCTATCCCCAATTTACAGATGAGGCGTCATCTAAACCTTAAACTTTAAAAAGAAATGCACTCCTTAACACACACACACACACACACACACACACTGTCCCATTTTTGATGAGTGCGATTTGGAAAGCAAACTAATCTGTCATCTGCCTCTAGGATGCTAACTAAAACAACCTCTATTTCTACACAGTACATATGAATCCAGCTTGAAAGGAGTCATTAAACTTGTCTCCTTTGTCACTTAATTTCTCCCGTCCATTTGACCTCCTGAGGACGCACTGGGGAGCTAATGGTAAACAAAGCTAAAGAGGCCCCAGTCCAGTAACTTCTGTGCCACTGTGGTCAACCCCCACAGAAGGGGAAGAAATCTCTGTCAATATGGGCAAGTCTCAGCACACCAGGGTAGCACTGCCCCGGAAACAGGAGACGTCCATCCATCCCAGCGGCAGGTGCGCACCTGAACACCAACGGCCCTCACTCCTTCCTTGGTTCCCAAGGTTGGACTGAAAGCCAACCAAGTCCAGTCCTCGCAGGAACCGCAAGGTGCTTTCTCCCTGATGCGTTCAGAGAAAGCTACAGCGGGAACTGACGATATCTTGCTCGAAAAGGCTGGCCCCGGCCTTCCATTACCTTCCTTCCCCAGTAGCCCACGGAACGCACAGTCGGCACCTGCAGGGAGCCCGTTGCAAGTGACATTCGGAAGCCGGCCCAAAGTGGCCACTATAGGAGGGCTGCTGCCCTATCTCTCGCAGGACACTGGCTCAGAACCGATGGGCTGGCATACTCTCTCCACCTGGCCCTTGATGTCCAGATTAAAATATACGGAAAGCTTCCACGGATGTTTGCAATGGAGGTGGCCGTGGGAACAGGCGGCTGCCGCAGGGGCACCGCTGGAGGAGGAGATGCTGGCGACTGCGCACAGCTGCAGGCAAGAACAAACGCAGGCTCGGAGCCGTGCCAAAGCCCCATCTGCACCCTGGATGTGGAACTTGGGCTCAACCTGGTTTCCACAAGTGATTTTTTTCTTAATCTCAAGCTAGGCACAACAGAGCAACGTCCAAATCTTTTTCTTTTTAAAGACACTGGTGAGGCGCGCCTGGGTGGCTCAGTCGGTTAGGCGAGTGCCTTCGGCTCAGGTCATGATCCCGGGGTCCTGGGATCCAGCCCCGAATCGGGCTCCCGCTCAGCGGGGAGTCTGCTTCTCCCTCTGCCCCTCCCCCCGCTCGGGCACACACTCTCTCTCTCAAATAAATACATAAAACCCTTTAAAAATAAAAATAAAAATAAAAAAATAAAGACAGTGGTGGATTTTGAAAGCACGTACTGAACACTGCTTAAATGTGCAGTTGCTATCAGTGGGATTTACAAAGACAGTTGGAAAACAGGGAGATTTAGTGCCCTGGTGGCTCATTTTCCCACAAAGAGAACACAAAGGTTCCCGAGGAACAGTGATAGGTACCCAGGAACCTGCAATCACTGCAAACTGAGCTGATTTATTTTCTAGTTGCTATTACTGGAAATAATCAGAACCACAATATTCTTGGCCCTCCTTCAAAATGGAATCATTCGACACACTGTAAATGACGGTGATCTAGAGCAGTAATTTTTCTCCAAAAGCAACCTGGTTTTTAACAAATTAAATAACTAATATAAGTTTACATTACTTTATACATAGAGTGGCATGTGCACATAGTCTAAGGTAATACATTGGCAATCTGTGGCAAGGTGTTTTTTTTTTTTTAAACACACCAAATAAAGCAACGTTTAATGTCTGTTCCTTTAGGAAGGATTCAAAGAAACTTCTACTTGGAGCTATCCGAAACCAGCAAGTACCTAAGCTCTGTAAACACTTTGGTAATATTCTAAGTTAATAATAAGAAAAGATGGATTTTGAGGTTCTTTCTCTGAAATCATGAAAAACTGGAAGCATTAAGAAAAAAAAAAAAGACTTGTACCAGAGGCTGCAGGCAGCAAAACCAAGGTTTTCTCATTTTCTGAAAACATCATCTGTCTTTGCTGCACGGAGTGGCCACAAGGGAAGAGGCCGACCACATTTTGTGGTTTCACATCAGTACGCATATTGCTTGCCAATGTCATCGAACCCTGCTCCTTTATCATAGTGAGGGGAAGGACAACATTCGCCCTTGTCCCAAATGTCCGTCACTATACGGTATCCAATAAACCAGACCCAGAGAGAGGCTACAAAGCAATGCTGTTTAGTCTCATTTCTGTCACAGACTAGCCAGCTGACCCTGCCACACACAACCTGATCCACGCTCACCCTCAGTTTCCTTCCCTGTCACAGAAAAACACCGCACTAGGAGGCCACCAAGACCTATGCAATGACAGCATACGTCAGTATGCATCGACTTCAAAGTCCTGAAAAAATAGCCCAAAGGAAAGGTGCGGAAGAAATGACGGGTCCTTACTGAGATTTGCTCTAAGCTTGCAATAAAAACATGAGTGTCTTGGCAATGATACGTAACATTCCAGTCACCCTGGCTCAAAGGCCCTGAACCTTCTCCTAAAGCAACAGGCAGAGGCATTGAAAGTGTCATTTGAACCATCTGAACTTTGAACTTGAAAGAGACTCAAGCGCTGGAGCAAGCTGAGCGAATCCCTCCAAAGCTCGCTCTCTCACTCTTGCTTGTGTCCACCTGCCCCCACCACTGCTCCAGGATCATGAGCCCCACGAAGTCTTTCACGTCTGCCTCGCCTGAAGCAGGAGGTACAAGGCACAGAGCCTGAAATGCACGCACTGCGTCTTCTTACCTCTCCAGGGTCCTTACACCTTAGCAGCAGGAGCAGCTCCAAGCAGAACTGACCCCCCATCCTCTCCGAACAGAGCCCCCGGCCAGGGTGGGAACGGAGAAGGGGGCTGGAGACAGGGAGCCTGCTGAAAGAGCCAGAGGAGTCAGGCAGGCAGGCTCCCTGGCTGGAATGCGCAGCTAGAGGCCCTGGGAGGGAGAAGGCCTGGGGTCACTGCGATCCTCTGACTCAGACACCCTGGGGAGCTGTCAGCTCCGAAAGGCCTCCTTCAGCACACAAGGCGGAGAGGCACCAAGCACCTACAGGGGGTTAGCATCTGAAAGTTAGGAAGTGGAGGTAAATGGTTACATAGAGCGATGTCAGTTTACAGTAAGTGGTAGAGATACAACAGGCATGTTGGAGGCAACAACTCATTTAAATGAAGTGCAAATTCACAAACGTGATAGGGGACTTGTATCCAGATACCTAAAGGACTCTTACAATTCAATAATAAAAAGACAACCTGATTTAAAAGTGGGCAAAGGCTCTGAATGGACATTTCTCGGATGATCATCTACAAATGGCCAATAAGCATATGAAAAGATTCCTGAGGAGGTGCCTGGGTGGCTCAGTCGGTTGGGCATCCGACTCTTGATTTTGGCTGGGGTCGTGTTCTCAGGGTTGTGAGATCCGGCCTGGTGTCCAGCTCCACACTGGGCATGGAGCCTGCTGGGGATTCTCTCTCCCTCTCCCACTGCCCCTCTCCCTGCTCTCTCTCTCTCTAAAAAAAAGAAAATTCTTGACATCATCAGCCACCAGGGAAACCAGGGAAATGCAAATCAAAACCACAACAAGATAGCTATTCACACTCACTAGGATAGGTAAAAGAAATGTTGGCAAGGACATAGAGAAATTAGAACTCTTCTACCTTGCTGGTGAGAATGTAAAATGCTTTGGAAAACAGTTTGGCGGTTTCTCCAAATATTTTAACCAGAAGTTACCATATGCTCCAGCAATTCCACGGCTACCTAGATCCCCAAGAGAAATGAAGATAGATGTTCACATAAAACTTGGATACAAACATGTTCACAGCAGCATTATTCATGATAGCCAAAGGTGGAA